TTGAAATCCTATTGGTGATCAATGCTACAAAGAAAACAGGGCGTGGGTCGTTACAGGGACAGAGAGGTTGGCTCCTTGCAGAAGAGCTGTATTGTAGCTGAGACCTCAATGAGGAACACAAGCGTGGGCTCCTGTCAGCCTAAGGGACTGGCCTTTTAGGCTAAGGGAACAGCTAGGACCAATGTAGAGAAGCAGTAGAGACACTGGAGTGTCCAAAACCCTGCGAGAGGAAAAAGTGATGAGAAATGAAGCTGGAGAAGTGGCCAGAGGCTGGACCACTCAAGGCCCTTTTGGACCATGGTGACACCTTTAGTTTTTGTTCTGACTATAAATGGAAGCCACCAATGGATTTTAAGTGGGAGAATATATATATATATATTTTTAAAGATTTTATTTATTTATTTGACAGAGATCACAAGCAGGCAGAGAGGCAGGCAGAGAGAGAGGAGGAAGCAGGCTCCCTGCTGAGCAGAGAGCCCGATGCGGGGCTCGATCCCAGGACCCTGAGATCATGACCTGAGCCGAAGGCAGCGGCTTAACCCACTGAGCCACCCAGGCGCCCCAAGAATACATATTTTTAAGCAGAAGCAGAGAGAGCAGTTTTACACCCTTGCCCTGGTCCCAGTGATAAATGATGGTGGGTGGTCACGACCAGGGGGTGACAGTGGGGGTGGTGTGCAGCTGCCAGACTTCTGAGAAATTCTAGAGCCGGCTGGCCTTGCTGACAGACAGCACGTGGTATACCAGGCCAGAGGAGTCGAGGACAACTCCCAGACTTGAATTTGAGCATCGGAGAGAACGCAGATGTTCCCAGAGATCAGGATCCGTCGAAGGCCTGAAGGAACAGGGGCTCACTCAGCATCCAGCACTGAGCCTGCAGGACTGCCATGTGGAAGAGGGCGGGAAGTCTGGTTCCGTGTGGTTCCAGAGGGACGTGAGATCCACAGATGACAATTCCGGGAAGGGCGGTGGCAGGCTCGTTCAGAGAAAGGACTTTAGGGTCATTTGTGACCAGCTAGGCCTCACTGCTAAGGGTGCCTCCAGTGTCAAGCCCCTGTCCTACGTGTTCCCGGAGGCCAGGTGACTCCTATCCTACAGAGCGGGAGAGCCGACCCCGTAGCCCAGTGTCTGGCTGCGTGGCTGCTCCTGCTTCAGCCCTAGAGTTGTCCGCTGCTTGCCATAAGCTAAGATAAAGCTCCCAGTGGGGTCCTGAGAGTTCTAGCTCTCTCCACACACAATGCCATTAGCTACCGGCGATGGGAGTGTCAGTTCAATAAACTGACTTGCCCACCACACTATCAAAAAAATAGCACGTTCCTTCACTGTCCTAATCCTCAGACCACACAGAGTACAGCCAGTAAAGTAATTTGTGTGTAAATGTGCGCCAAGACCTGCTAACTAGCCTTGTTAAAATAAGACAAACTTTTTTTTTCTTCCAGTTTAAATTTCACGGGAGCTACTGTATACCATTTGTCTCTCTTTCCGCTGGGCAGGACTGGCATTCCTCTGACATCTGTCCTATTGGTCCCATTTTATGGGGTGCTTGCGGATTACTCGTATGATGTGACATTGGAATTTTGGGAATGTGGCTGTCCTCAGATGACAAATGAACTTGGACAGAAGTTGGTTTTCATGTGTGTGTTTACATATTTGGGGACCTGGAGACATGAGGGGCTCCCTGGACACGGACATCCTGGCTGCCAGCCTCCACTCCACGGTCAGGAGCTCTTCTGACTCCCGGGTTTGCTCAGCACACGCATAGGCCCAACACTACACGTACCTCAGTACGGTTTCTCCCGATCCCATGGGATAATTCCTTACGTGGTGCCAGCATAGAGCCCACCACACCAAGTGGGGGTCAGCCACAGACTAAGTTGTGAAGTCACATTTAGGATTCTGTTTTATCTAAGTTAAAAACTTGCCTCTTCTCCAGTCAACCTTGCTTATCCACCAGCGAATGAATGAATGAATGGACGGATGCCTGCATGGACGTGTGGAGTGACATTTGATTTCAGGTCAAAGAACTCAAACAGAGAAATACATAAAGTCCCCAAACCTTAACAACCCTTCCTTCAACTACCATAAAGATGGAAGAGTGGTTTTAATTTTTCAAAAACATAATTATGTAGAAATAAACGTATATAAACCAATGTATTGTTCGAGGGTTTTCTGAGAGACAGAGACTCACATACTCCTTGAGTTTTTGTTTGATTGTCTAGGAGAGCTTCCATTTTAACACAGAAACAGCCACCTCGTTCTGAGCCCTTGGCGGGAGTGTGATTTCGCCATGCGCTCATGGCTGGATGTTTGAGGTGATTTCTACGGTTTCTGCTATTAGGGACTTTGTAGGATCTAGCTGGAACAGTTTGAATTCAATTTTAAGAGATCCTTTTGAGCTATGATTATTCGAGCGCAGTCCCAGGTGTGAGAATTTCTGCGAAGCAGATTCGTCTCTGTGGCATCGTGGTGCCCCGGCTAATGTGTACTTTCAGTTCTTGACACACTCAGTTGTGCGAGTATTTTACGGCATATGGATGCCCCTGTCACCAGTATCGGACATGACCCATATTTTCATTATTTGGTGATCTGATGAATTGGACGAATAGATCACATTACTTAATTTCTTGTTCCCTAACTACTAAGTTACAGATGTGTAGGACTGTCTTAGAGAGGGGATCTAGGTTTCATGGATGGCCTGTCCTTGTCCCTGGCCTATTTTGAAATTAGGCTGTTTTTCTTTTTCACACTGTTCTACAGAATCCTTCTAAAATATGGTCCCTAATCTTGGGTTCTAAGTGTAAAATTCTCTCAACTGCCCCATCTTTAGTTCTGTTTATTATGTATTCTGTGTTACAGAGGGGTTTTTTTTGTTTTTTGTTTTAAAGATTTTATTTATTTATTTGACAGACAGAGATCACAAGTAGGCAGAGAGGCAGACAGAGGGAGAGGAAGCAGGCTCCCTGCCGAGCAGAGAGCCCGATGCGGGGCTCGATCCCAGGACCCTGGGATCATGACCTGAGCCAAAGGCAGAGGCTTTAACCCACTGAGCCACCCAGGCGCCCCATGTGTTACAGAGGTTTTAATATTTAATTATTAATCTCTGTGGATTCAAATTCCCTTTTCCCAAGGCATGTGAATTTGGGTTTCACTTAGGAAGGTTGTCTCTAGCCCCTGAGCTTTAGGACTAGTCTCCTATCTCTATGAATACTTACATTTCTTTTCTTGTTTATAGCTTATTCATCTGTAATTTATTTATTGTGTGATGTGAAGGGATTGTACCATCTGTTTGTAACTCGCCCATTCGGCACTGATTTTGAATGCCCTTTGACTCGTCCGTTAATTTCCCATATATGCAAGGACACGTTTCCAGACTCTCCCGTTGACCCATTTATCTGGTTCTGTGCGAATTACATACTATTTTACTACTGTAATTTTATAGTGTGTTTTGGTATCTAGTGTATCAGATTCTCACTATTCCTTTTCTTCAAAATTGTCTTGCTGTGTATTTTTTCTTTCATGTAAACACCAGAATAAGTATGTTATTTTTTTATAAGTTTGTCACCTTTTTTAAAAGAAATATTTGGCATTGTGTTATATTTGATTTTTGATTAATTAGACAAGATTGCCATCTTTTTTGCAATCTTTTCTGGCTTTCAAAAATGACATCCTGTCAGAAATCTTAGGTGTAAAAATTGAATCCACAGAGTTTTACCACCTGGAAGAAAATATGAGTGAATTGCTTTAAAACAGGGTAAAGGGAAAAGCTTTCTACCTATGGTTCAAAGTCCAGATGCAGTAAGGCATTTACATAATCTGAATGCAAATATAAAAACTTCTTTGCATAAGAAAAGTCAAAAGGTGAATGACAGAGAGAAAATATGTACAACACATACCATGAATAAAGGACTAACACTAAAATGTCAATCATGATACTGTCACTTCACTGCATTGTGCAGAGAAGTAAATGGTTGTGCTTAGTGCTACTAACGGTTGTAAAAGCTGTGTCAGCATATTAATTTTAATGTTATATCATGTATATAATATATAAAACAAGTGTTAGTGCCCCTCCCCCCTGAAATTCAGCTCACTGGTTCAGACCTTTTGTGGGGAGGTGCATTTGTCCTGGGCAGGTCACGACCAAATTCTGGGACACTCTCGGGACCTACAACTAAGATGCGCCATTTTGTCTTCCACTGTCTTCCTGTATTCACAGACCAAACCTATTTTTTACCTTCTCTCTGCTACCGCTTGTCGTTGTGGCATCTTAAGATCCTTCAATATAATTTGTCCATCCCTGTGGACATCCCATAATAGTAATTATTAAGTTAACTGTGACTTAATTTGCAATTCCATCAGTGTTGCCATCCCACTGCGTTCCTCTCTCATCCTCCTCCAAGCAGGGCTGGGAGCGGTACGTTCTCCTGCAGCTGTAGCTCATCCTGGACCAGAGGAATTCTTGTGACTTTGATGAAATGACGGGCCTTCAGACTGACAGGACTTTAGAGCTCACTAGTCCAGCTTCTTCAACGGAAGAAACTGCGTACAAACTCCGTACTCTGCATGAAGTACTCAGCTAGGTAGATAGGCTAGCTACACGGCCTAGAATGTGTTGTGCTGTATGAACAACTTACATAGTTATACAGACTTTGCCTTGTACCAGAGAGTATTTTCTGTAGCTAGCAGAGATTAGAATTCTGGTCTTTCATACCACAGACTGGCAAACTTCCCACCCTAACGTAGTATCTTGCCATGATGGCAACACCCTATATGTCCAATATCTATAGGAACATGTGCCTGCTGAGCTCTTAAAATGTGCTGGTGTGACGGGAACTGAATTATTTATTTTACTTCAAGTAGCCACATGTGCTACGTGGACGTACAGACAGGGCAGCTCTAAGCCACGTAAGATTTTAAAATAGGACCTTGCATAAATAAAAAGGTTGCTATTCTGCTGTATGGTTGGCCGTTGTAAATGCTAACCCGCTTTTCTCTTTCTCTAGATTCAGTCACTCAGCACAAGGTCTGTGCCTTTGACAACTACCTGTTGCCGCAATGACGGAGCCACCAGTCAACACCACGGGCTGCTGCCATTAGCTCACAAAGTTGTCTCTGGACACTGACATAGCAAACACTCAGAGAAGGAATGGACATAGAAGCAATGCCTTTTTATATCATTACATGTGTGCCTTGTGGTTTTTATATAAAGAACCTCCTCCGTTTGCCTTTCTAATGACTGAATTTGTGCTCTAAAGAAGCACTAACCTGCTCTATTTGGGCCTTTTCTGTGTAATGCCAATCTTAGTATTTTAATGATGATCATGATTAAAAGGTCACAGAACCTTGGTCATGGAAGCACCATACTGTTAAATAAAGAGTGGGAATTCCTTTAAGTTGTTTTATTACTGAGATCAAAGAACACCTTAACTTTCCTGGTTGGACTCAAAGATCTTTGGACTCAAAGATCTTCACTGACATTTCATATCCTAGACACGAAGGTTATCAATCAGTTATTAGGGTTACTTTTTACCTACTTGAGATTTTTCTCAAAGTAGCTAATAAAGGCAGGTGTGGGAGCTTTGCAGTAATTAATGCCACTAGAAGAGCCTGCTTCTCTGGGTCAGTTTATGGTGAGGAGAGAATTACCAACGAGAGACCATGGCCTCCACTGGCTACACAATGCTTGCCGTTCCTTAGAGGAAATTGGCAGTGGGCTGAATCACATACACACTAACTGGTCACCTTCTAAAGGAGAGAAAGGCTAAGTCCTCACAAGGCTGAAGGTTCCACGAAGACTTCCTCCTGGTACCATTCCTCTCCATGTTACCTGTTCTTCATCTCTGCTGTTATTCCAACCTTAATAAATTTCAAGTCCCTCAACAAATTTGTGTAACAGCTTCTACAGTAAACCTTTGAAGAAGGAAATAACAATGTGCAGGGAAATAAGGGTTTCCTCTTAGTTTTAATATTATATATGCCCCCAGACAATCCCCTACTATTACTCGAGACGCAAGAACAACTGAGCCTCTGTATAACTCAGCAGGCCTCTGCCCCCTCCTTCCGCGTTATAAACCCTGTTTCGCGATATCCACAGCCACGCTGGGCTTGGCTACCTTGAAGCTCAGGTACTTGGCAGAGCTCCTGCAACACCAGAGATTCCCAGGAGGCTGATGAAAATTCTGCCGACATGTTAGGGACTGTCCCCTACCCCATCAGCCACAGATAACCACCCAGGCGTGCATGGTCAGTGTCAAGTTCTGATTCCTAATGCTGGCCTGCCAGTGACTGGTTGAGATTCTTTCTAAAAAGTAACATTTTAGGAGGATACTAATTTGGGTCAGGAATTACACTAAGCATTGTATACTTTGTATACACTAAGCATATGTATGTATACCACATGCAATCTCCTAATAATCCTAGAAGTTAGTTGCTACAGGTTGGTAATCCCTTACCTGAAACACAGAGCTAAGAAGTATCTCAGAGCTCTCTGTATTTTAATTTTGAAAGATACGTGGCTCTCGGCATTTCTGTGTGAGATTGTACTGCTGATTACACCTAGAGGAGGCATCAAGAAAAAGGAATTAAGGCATGTAGATTGGAAATGAAGTAAAACGATTCTCAAAGGTTACTACTACATGTAGAAAATAAGGAATCAAAGATAATATGGAATAAATGAGCAAGGGAAGCAAGATTTACAATCAATACACAAAACTGAATTGTGTTTCTGTGCACTGCAATACATAATTCAAAAATGGAATTAAGAATACAATTCCATTTACTATAGCAACTAAAAATAAATTCAATAGGTAAAAAAATTCAGGAAATGTAATACATGTATACTGAAACCTATCACTGCTGAGAAGAACGTCAAAATATGCCAAATTTTTGGATTAGAAGACTCAATATTGATGTCAGTTCTCTTCAAATTCATCTATAAATTAAATGTAATCATCAAAATCCCAGGTGGCTTTTTTTGTTGAGTTTGAAAATCTGATGCTAAAAATTGATATGAAAATGCAAAGAAACCCTAGTAGACAAAACAGTTTTTTAGAAAAAGCTATGTTGGAAGATTTACTCTGCTGGATTTCAAAATGTACTATAAAATTATAGCAGTCAAGAAGTGTGGTGTTGGCACAAAAGTGGAATGTAGATCAAGGGAACAAAATAGAGAATCTAAGTATAAATCTTAATATTTATGGTCAGTTGAATTTCAACAAAGGTGCCAGGCCGTGCAATGCAGTAGGATATTCCTTACAACAAATGTCATGGAAAAAGAAAAACAAGAAGAAAAAAATACACTTATATCCTTCACATGCAAAAACAAAAGAAAATATGTGTAGATCCTTACCTCATACCATACACAAAAACAAACACATAGACCAGTGGAACAGAGTAGAGAGCCCAGATATGGACCCTCAACTCTATGGTCAGTTAATCTTCGACAAAACAGGAAAAAATATACAGTGGAAGAAAGACAGTCTCTTCAATAAATGGTGCTGGCAAAACTGGGCAGCTATATGTAGAAGAATGTAACTCAACCATTCTCCTACACTGTACACAAAAGTAAACTCAAAATGGATAAAAGACCTCAACGTGAGACAGGAATCCATCAGAATCCTAGAGGAGAACATAGGCAGTAATCTCTTCGACACTGGCCACAGCAACTTCTTTCAAGATATGTCTCCAAAGGCAAAGGAAACAAAAGCCAAAATAAACTTTTGGGACTTCATCAAAATCAAAAGCTTCTGCACAGCAAAGGAAACAGTCAAGAAAACAAAGAGGCAACCCACTGAATGGGAGAAGATATTTGCAAATGACAGTACAGACAAAAGGTTGATATCCAGGATCTATAAAGAACTCCTCAAACTCAACACACACAAAACAGACAATCATATCAAAAAACGGGCAGAAGATGTGAACAGACACTTCTCCAATGAAGACATACAAATGGCTATCAGACACATGAAAAAATGTTCATCATCACTAGCCATCAGGGAGATTCAAATTAAAACCACATTGAGATACCACCTTACACCAGTTAGAATGGCCAAAATTAGCAAGACAGGAAACAACATGTGTTGGAGGGGATGTGGAGAAAGGGGAACCCTCTTCCACTGTTGGTGGGAATGCATGTTGGTGCAGCCACTTTGGAGAACAGTGTGGAGATTCCTTAAGAAATTAAAAATAGAGCTTCCTTATGACCCTGCAATTGCACTACTGGGTATTTACCCCAAAGATACAGATGTAGTGAAAATAAGGGCCATTTGTACCCCAATGTTCATAGCAGCAATGGCCACGGTCGCCAAACTGTGGAAAGAACCAAGATGCTCTTCAACGGACGAATGGATAAGGAAGATGTGGTCCATATACACTGTGGAGTATTATGCCTCCATCAGAAAGGATGAATACCCAACTTTTGTAGCAACATGGACGGGACTGGAAGAGATCATGCTGAGTGAAATAAGTCACGCAGAGAGAGTCAACTATCATATGGTTTCACTTATTTGTGGAGCATAACAAATAGCACGGAGGGCATGGGGAGTTAGGACAAAGGAGTTGGGGGAAATTGGAAGGGGAGGTGAACAATGAGAGACTATGGACTCTGAAAAACAATCTGAAGGGTTTGAAGAGGTGGGGGGGTGGGAGGTTGGGGGAACCAGGTGGTGGGTATTAGAGGGCACAGATTGCATGGAGCACTGGGTGTGGTACAAAAACAATGAATACTGTTATGCTGAAAATGAATTTTAAAAAAATGATTAAAAAAAATTAACTCAAAATGGACCAGAAACCCAGGTCAGGGCTTGCCAACCTCAGCACCACTGACATCCTGGATGAGATCATTCTTTGCTGTTGGGGGGCTGTCCCATGCATTGTAGTACATTTAACACCATCACTGGTCTCTAGCTACTAGACACTAGTAATACACCCCACCCAGTTCTGACAATCCAAATGGTCTCCAGAGAGTAAAATTCTCATCTGAGAACCACTGATATTCATAAAACTGACATTATAAAATATCTAGAAGAAACCACAGCAGGAAATCTTTCTCAGATTAGGTTAGGCAAAGATGTCTTAGATATGAAATAGATACTAAAGGCACAATTCACAAATGAATCGGGCCTCAAACTTCCTTTTTTTTTTTGCTTTCTTCAGAAGAAACCATAAGAAAAATGAAAAGACAAGCACAGACTAGAAGAAAATGCAAACCATATATCTAATAAAGCAGTTTTATCTAGACTGTGTAAAGAACTATTCATTAAGAAGATAAAAATGGAAAAAGACATTTCACACAAGAACATACAGAAATGATTATAAACACAAAAAGGGGCTCAACATTATTAGTCATTGGAGAAACAAGCTAAAAGCACAATGAGATACCCACATGCCCTCTGGAATGGCTGTAACTAAGAATTGTGGCAACACCAATATGTGGAGAAACTAGAACCCTCGTATACTGCTGGTGTGACTACAAAAATGGTACAGTCCCTTTGAAACCTGTCTGGCAGTTTCTTTTAAAAATTAAACCTACAGAAAAAAAGAAAGAAAGAAAGAAAATTAAACATACATTACCATATGACCCTGCAACTTCACTCTTAGAGAACTGAAAATGTGTCTACACCAGGAATTGTACACAAATGTTCACAGCAACATTATTTACAACAGCCCCAAACTGGAGACAATCCAGCATTGAAAAATGGATATGCAAAATGTGTACATACATGTAAAAGACAGCATGCCTCAACACAGATCATCCCCAAAGACACACAACAAGTGAAAGAAGCCACACTCAAAATATTACATGGTATATGATGCTATTTGGATAAAAATGCTAGCAAGGTCAAAACCATAAAGGCAGAAAGACACATGAATGTTTCTGTACTGGGGTAGGAGTGGGAAGAGACCACTAACATTTGGGGGTGATGTTCTGAAACTGGGTCAGGATTTTTGTTATACAACCACATGCACTGACAGATTGTTGAATGGCACACTTTCCCCAGGCCAATTTTATGGTGCATAATACATCCTTGAAGCTGTTTAAAAGAAGAAACAGTTGTGTGGCGACTGTGGCATAGTACCTCTGGGATCACACTCGACAAAGAACCTTCCATTCCGCTGTAATGGGCACAGTGAGCCGACAGCCTTCAACCACCAGTGGTCAGCACCCTGGCCTCATCCTTCTAAGCCAAGGCCTTGTCTTTCTGGGCAGTCAGTCCCCAGCCAAGACCTGAGCCCAATGGGGCTCAGGAACCCAGCGATTCTGCTAATAAAAGAATCTGCCAGATGTCCTGCAGCTTTTCCTTATGGGATCCTGCTTCATCACCCCTGAATTTCTCACAGGAGTTATCCCC